GTCCAAAGGGCCCAATTCGGCACAATCAGAGCAGGTTCTGCTCCCCCCCCGGCGCAGCAGAGCAGCACAGCGCTGCCCCCACCGTGGTGGGTGAGCTGGGGGTGCTTCCCAAGCCCTGCTCCCGTGCTCCCCCCACACCCGGTCCTGCCCTGGCAGCCGCACAGGTGTTTGGAGAGAGGATCGGGGGCAGCTCCGTCCTGCCCCAGCGGGTGCGGGTGTGCGGGAAGGAGAGCGGATGGACCTGGCAGCTGTGCTTACCCAAGCAAGCAGCGATCTCCCGAAGAGCAGCTGCCCAAGCACCTTCCCACATCGATTTCCTGCAAAGATTTGCAAAACAAAGGCATGACAATCCCCTGTAGCACCTCAGCGGGAAACCCCGGGGACTGTCCACCCTCCCTACAGCCCCAGGCTGAGCCTCCATGCCCGGGGAAGGGCAGCAGCGAGGCACAGCTGGTCAGAAATGTTGGGGGGGCACAGCAGCGTTTTCTGAGTCCGAGTTCTCTGTGCACAAAGGTGTGCTGAAGTAGACAGGAAAGTCTCCATTAAGCTGAAGACATCCTTAACAATTAAATACTTTAAAAAATAAATATAATTGTTCTTTGATTATTTTTTTAAAGGAATTCTCACCCCAAAGGAAAGGCCGCTTGTTGCTTCATGGCCCATATACCACAAGAGGATACAAATGTGAGATTTTTACCACTCTGGTTTGATGCCAGGGTGAAGCTGTAGATGTCAGACCATCCTCCCAGCAGTTCAAACCCTACATGTGGGCCCAGCTGAGCCCATCAGAGAGGAGCCAAACCCCTGGAAACCCACCTTGAGCCGTTCCTCCCTGTGTCCCGCAGGGCTCTGCACAATTTCGTAATAATATTCCAGCTGGGAGACGCGATAGCATTTCTCCTTCATTTCACAATTCTCCAGTGTCTGAACCACCTCCCCCCCATGTGGGTGTTTGACTAGGACAGTGCTGAACTTGGTAGGCACACAGGAAAGTCCATCTGCAAGGAAACATGAACAAAAATTAACCTGGAGTTGTCCTCAAGGCCCCCGAGGCTGCAGCACCTGCACCAGGGTCTGTCCTGCAGCACAGACTGTCCAGCTCCAGTGTCCAGCACCCGGCTGGAAAGGGCTGGTAAGGGTGAGAGGGTCCCACGTGGGAGTTTGGGGCTCATTCCTGCCCCTGACCCTGTGGAAGCCCCAGCTCTGGGGAGCCAGCATGAGCTATTCCATTTATCTTCAAGAAAACCGGGTTTTAAATGTAAAATATTGATGGCAGTGCTTCTTCCCGAGCCACACTCTCACACCAGGGAGTGGAGGAACACCATTTAACATTTGCTCGTTCAGCATTTCCCTCGGGGTTTGCTGGGGGCTTCTCAGATGCTGGAGCCAGGGTTATGGGCTCTCCTGGAGACATTCCCCGGCACCTCCAAAGGATTTGCTCTGGGGCAGAAGGCTGTTGAGCTGATCTGATGGTTAACTGGGTTTGTGCTCTAACTCGGGCCTGGTCCTGCCCTGTCCCAGCCCTTGGGTGTGTGTTGTCCTTCAGGGTTTGTGTTTGGCTCCTGGTTTTGAATGGGTTGAGAGTTTCCTGCCCCCTCCCAGCTGCTTCAGCAGCTGCTGGAGGAGATTCCTTTGTTCCAGGATGGAGCTGCGTTTTCAGGGGAGGGAAAAGTGATTTCTGAAAGCAAAACTCTTTGGGATGCCTTAAGAGTGGGACACAAACTGATAACAGATTTCTGGAAGTCAGTATTTCTGGGTGAGATTTTAAAATCCTCCTCCAGCCTCCCTCTCCCCCTCCACCCCATTTCTCTTTACCATTTCCGGTCTTAACCATGACACTGAAAGTGTCAGCCTGACCTCAGCGGAGAAAATCCAGAAGGAAAGTGCAGAGACCTGCCCTAGGGCAGAGGCAAAGCTGCCATCGAGTTCACATTTGCCAACCCTGGGCCGTTATCGCTGAATGAGACTCCCCCTCCCCTCCCCATGAGCCCCCCCCCGGGGAAATAGCACCGTCCAGCATCTTCCACTCACACGTCTGGGAAGTAAATGCTGATTCTCCCACCTCTGGAAGAAACCACTTCACGCTGCCTAATTGCCTTTTCCACTTGCAGCTGCATAACGAGGCAGCTGCCGCTGCCCGTGCAGACCCTCCTGCCGCTGCCGCGGGTGGGACCCGGCCCCGGGCAGAGCCCTCGGGGGGCTCCGCCGCCCCCCCCGGCCCCTCCACCTCACAGAACGATGGAATGAACGCCCAGGCCCCTGCACGGCTCTCCGAGGCACTTCAGGATTCCCGCAGTCTCTGTCCCTCTCTAGTGGTGGAGGCACAGCCCTGCCACGGCCGCCGCCGGGAGGTTTGAACGGGATGGGCTTAGAAGCAGAAATACCAGAGAAATGACATCAGCAAATTCCAGGAGAATGGAATTTGTCAAAAAGTTGTTGAAAATCATTTCAACACGACTTTGCATTCTGATAAAATATGACCGGTTCATGTCCACTGAAGTGTCTTGGGTTATTTTATGAGTCAACTCATGAGGCAGCTCCCCATTTCACAGTGAAACCAGTTCAGCCTTATCCCAGTGGGAGGTTTTGACCCATCTGGAATGATTTCGTTTGGAGTTTCCATTTCTGCACGATTTTTGAACCATCAGTGTAGTTCACTGGTGCTGGAAGGGCGTTTCAGACTTTCAGGAAGGAAACTCTATTTTCCAGGGGTCTATTTCCAGCAGGGCCTTTGTCATCACGTTGGTTTTCTTGCTTTGAGTGGGAGGGTTGGAGTGCAGACCCTCAAGGTCCCCCCAGCCTGGGTTACTCTGATTCCACGCTCTCTGGCTAGAGGACACTTTCCCGAGCACAGGGTGGTTGTATTTCCATCCTCACCCCATGCACAGGACAGAGAACCACCACTGTGCCTGCAGACCTGCACTGTAGGGGCCCAGCAACAGGAAACCCAAACCACGATCCCTGTGCCCAGGGAGGCAGAGGCTCTGCTCAGCAGGCTGCAGCTGACACTGGTGCTGGTCACACAGGAGGGCTCATCCCCACATTCCCAGAGGGAGGGAGGGAGGGAGGGAGGGGAGCTCTCCCTCGTTCATACCTGCACTGTAGGCTGGATCGGAGCATTTCCCCACGTCCACCGTGACCTCCCAGGGAGAGTCTGGAAAGAAGGTTTTCAGCGCCGGGAGCCGCAGACATTCCTCGGGGCAGGTGCTGCAGTGGCAGCCATCGACCACCTCCACCTCCCGAGCGCCCTGCAGGAGCAGGAGCCGCTCCACGCGCAGCCGGGCCGGCTCACAGCACGACCCCGCGGGGCACGATCGGGGCGCTCCTGGCCAGGGGGCATCGGGGTGCCGCATCTGCAGGGCCAGGGGACAGAGAGAACAACCCCAGCATCAGCTCCTGGACACAGCTTCCCCCTGACCTCCTCTCTCCCTCCCTGCCTGCCTGGAGGATGCTGCACCAGCAGTGTCAGGGTGTTCACAGCAGTGGGACAGGTGGTAATGAGATTTTTCACGGGACACGCACACTCAGCACCCACAGAGCTTGTTTCAGTCCCTCTCCAGGGTCTGTTATGCTGGTGGAGATGGGACTTTAGGCAATGTCAGCTCTCCTGGGATAAGGAGAGCACCACAGCCCATGCACAGCCATGGCCCTAAATGCACAAGCTCCTTTGAGTCCCCCTGGGAGTGACACACGGCACATGGAATGGGAATGACAGAAGCATCTCAGCAGCTGGATGTTTATAATGAAATCACACATCCTGCCATTTTTGCACAAAGAGGCAGAAAAAGGCCTCTGACCCCTGTAGATGTGGGACAGCAGCTCTCAGGTACAGAAGTGGCTGCAAGAGCTGGTCTGGCTGCTGCGCTGGGGTGGCCAGGAATGCACTGGATCTGCCTGGAACAGCCAGGTAGGCTCCTTGCCTGAGCCACAGCCCTTCCTCTGCCCCGAGGTATCCAGCACTGCTGGAGGAATATCAGCTCTCTCACCTGCACAAGCCGCTGCTTGTGGCCAGGGGAGGATGAGAGGCTCCGTGACAGGTTTTTCAGAAGCCAAAAACAGGTGTTTTAAAAAACTCACGAACCCACAACCCCAGGCACCAGCACGTGACCCTCACCCAGCTCCAAGCGCTCCTGCAGGGACACAAACACGCTGCTCTCACCTTCTTGCTCCTCAGGAATTCGAGCAGGGAGGAGTATCTGGAGGGCCCCGGGCGGCCGGGGTGGATCCAGTGGGACGGGCAGCGGGAGCGGCACCTCCCGACGTCCACGCTGACCGGGCTGCCAGAGACATCTGCGGGACAGGGGACCCACAGAGCGTCACCCTCACATTCTGGGGGTGCAGGGGAGGCCAGGGCCGGGTACTGCACAAACACTGGCACAAAGACACGGCCCACTCCTGGAAGCCTCCCTGGGAGAGAGATTCCTTCAGCCCGAGCCCAGGTGGGGATTCACTGCAGTCACACCTACTGTGTTTGCAGAGCAGAGGGAAACATTTCCTATTAGACTGCTCGGTGGACGAAGACTGAAAACAACGAAACTAAAATGTCACTAGGAAACCACTGGTTTTACTTTCTGTGGTGAGCACATGAGGGATGGGGTGGGAACAAGTGAATATTACTGATTATTAAAGGGAAAAGGGAACGCTCAGCCATACTACGAGGCTTATTAATGTAAATCCTTGTTTCATGAGATAACAGGGAAGGAAACTGGCACTAAAAGTGCCCATGGGTAAGTCCAACACCACTGTAATCCATTTGCTTTAACCTGCTAGGATCACAGACCCAGTGTGTGCTGCAACACTCTAACTTCTGCACTGATTTAAAAACTGATTTTCAGGGTCCCCAGCGCTGCCTCCAGGGGACCAGGAAACATGGAGGGACATGTGAAAGTCAGGCTTGGGGTACAGCTGCTGCTGGCTGCCTGAGGGTTCCTTTGCTCAGGGAAGGAATGAGCAACGAGCCAGGCAGCAATTCCCAGCTTATCAGCCATTCCAGCAGTGATGCCTGTGGATGCTCTTCACCCACAGCAGGGTGCAGACAGCTGGGCACTTGGCAAAGCACCCTGTACCAGCTGAAGACACAGTTAACCCCTGCTCTCCCTGCCCTGCTGCTATACAACCTGTGTTTATTATTTTTAGGCTGATATTTTATCTGCTTTTTTTTGCTATTTTCATCATTATTTACTCTTCTAAAGTTGTTGCCTCCAGAGCTGACAAGCTGTCACTGCTTGTGACAGCTCTTAATTTGGATATGGCAATTTTATCATTCCTACCGTACACTACAACCTGGTATTTGGCAAACACTAAATGTTACACTTGTATAAGTGCACTGAAAAGCCCCAGGAAACCTCAGTGTTGAGCCATTTTCACAGCTCAGGCTCATTTCATGTGGTCTTACAGCCCCTGCAAGGGGAACTGGGGACACAGGCTGCTCCTGACAGCCACGGACTTTTGCCTGGTGAACAAATGCAGCTGCTTTCTACTTCCTCTACTTTCTCAGGACAGCCTGTCGTCCTGCTGACAGCCCTTCCCACATCAATCCTGAGAAGCAAAAGTCTGCAGCAGTCCTGAACTTCTGCAGCAATAAACAAGCAAACAGGGAATTCAAACACAGAATCAGCCACACTGCAGCACAGGTCCAGGGAACCGAGCAGATGGACAGACCCAGCGGCCAGGCCACTCACCAGTTCCTGTGCCACAAAAGATGTTTGAAGTGTTAGATTATCTGGGCAACAGGTCCCCAGCACGTGTCTGTCCTCAGTCCCCCGAGGGAAAAGTCACTTGGAAAATTTCAACATAAAGAGCCAAGAGATGGGCAGGACATGAGTGGGGAAGCGTCAAGGATCCCAGTTTCTCGTAGGTGGAGGGGAACTCAGAGCAGCTGTGGCTGCCCCATCCCTGGAAGTGTCCAAGGCCAGGCTGGATGGGGCTTGGAGCAACCTGGGCTGGTGGAACATGTCCCTGCCTGCAGGGCTGGAAAAAGATGGGGTTCAAGGTCCCTTCCAGCCCAAAGCATTCTTGGATTCTGTGGTTCCATGAACTCACCATGCCCAACGTGGAGGAAATGGCTCTGCCTCCTGCAGCAGCCCCTCTCTGCAAACAGGTTGCTTTGCTCCTCCGCTCTGCCGACAGCTCCGGCCCCTGCAGTCACAAACCCCGAGCTCAGCATGGCCCTGGTTACGATTCACCCTGTCCTGCCTGAGCTGGGACGAGGCACAGAGCGCCCATCCACCCACCAAACAGCTCCAGCACGAGGGACAGATTTAGTTATAGATGCACATGACACACCTGGCAGCTCAACCCTCTTTGGGCTGAACACCCCGTGCAGTCGCTCCCAGCTCTGTTTGGCACAGTTTGTCTCGGGACATCAGTCCCCTGCTCTACTCTGCCTTCATGTTACTGCAGGGTGAGCTTGGTAAGGAGTCGCCTCCCACAGCACAAAGCCCTAAACCCTCCCCAGATTCCCCTGACACAAACTCCAAACTGTTTGCCCAGTGCAGGCAGCCTGGGCTGTTCTGTTCACAGCACACACAGACCCTACAGCAGCATCAGATCCCAGCAGAGCCCACGCCCAATCCCACACCACACCCCCCGCTCTCCCCTGCCAGAGGTCAAAGCAGTGCCAAGGAGAAGGAAAAAGGAACTTACTGGCAAAGACAGGAGCCTGCAAGAGACCTGCCAGGAAGACCACAGCTCGTGGGTCCTGCATGCTGCACCCTGGGAAGCACAGGAGTTTCCAGCACCTCTGGCACTTATACCTGTCCTCCCTGGCAGGTGAGAAGGTGAACAGCTCAGAGCCAAATGGACTCGCATATCCCGGCAAATGTCCCCAGACTGTGATCTGAACAAACACCTCAGGGCCTGGGCAAGGAGCACATCTCACCCATGAGCAGCATCACACTCCCAGCTGGGATGGCCAGGCTGGGATCAGGCTCCCAGCAAAACTTCAAAGTGTTTCTTGAGAGCCACTGGATTTGCTGCCAGCCCGGGGAAGCTCCCCTGGGGGTCTTTGTTGTTACCACCACTTCCAAACTAATTAAGTTTGTGGTGACTGGGAGCCACCCTCAAATCCTCTCACTTGAAAGGAACATGCATCCTTCACCCTCCCTCATCCCATTCAATGGTTTTACCTGGTGACAACCCTCTTCTGTCCCTCCCTACACCAAATGGAGCCAGAGCTGGTGCTTGGACAAAGCAGGACTCCCCACATCAGCACTGGCAGAGTGTTTCCCACAGCCATGAGGAGCTCTCTGGGGCTCCAGTTCTGCCTCTGGTCAGTGGGACTGGGCCTTGGAGCCAGGAGGAGGCATCTCTCTTCCTAGCTGCTAAACGCATGTAGGAAAGCACTAGAGCCCTGGAAGCAGGCACCCTGGCTCCCAGGGGTTGGGTTTTTGCCAGATTCAGGAGTGAGAGCACACCAGAGAACAGTGATGGCAGCGAAACACATCAGACACCGCTCTGGCATTCAGAAGAGGGGTCTGGGAGTTGGGCTCTTCCTGGCTACAGTCAATTGCAGGTGCAGCAATCACAGACACTCACAGAAGATGCACAGCCCCCAGAACAAGCTGAGTCTCCTTGAGCTCATCCCCAGTTCCTGGAGGCCAGCTGGGCTCCTCTGGGACGGATGCTTTGAGGAAACGGTGAGCAAAACCAAAGTGCTATGGGAAGGCATCCTGTCAAAAACACACCATTTATCACCCAGCTGCAGGAACCTCATCCCCTCCAGCCCAGCCCAGAGCAGGAATCAGCAGAGGTGCTCGACAACAACAAAAACAAAAAAATAAAAATTTAATTGTGTCTAAGAGACAAACATATATAACAAATCCCACATTTCCATTAAAAAACACTCCCTGTGCCTGGGTACCTGAGCTGAGCCACTCTCTGTTCACAGCTCTGTGGTGCTGCAGAGTTCCCAGAGAGGCCAGACTGCTACCTGGAGTAGCTGCTGTGTGACCTGGCCAGAACAGAGAGCAGCTGCAGGGTAGGGGGAAGTGACATACAAAACAGTTATGGAAAAATATGCATTTTAAATAAAGAGCTTACAATAACTTCAACTTCATACAAAATATCATGGTTGCCATTTCAGTGTTTCAATTCTAGGGATTATTTTTGAACTCTCAACATCCCATTTTCCATCTCACATCATCTCTGCAGTCTCTTTCTCCAGAGAGCTCAGTCTCTGTTCAGCTCAGTCCAAAGTACCTGAAAATGAACAAACACATTACAGTCTCAGGGATCAGAAGTGCAGTTCTGTGAACAAATGAAACTTGTTTACAAGGTGCCAAAGGAACACGCAGTAACTCTAAAGTTTAAGCAAATCACACACGAGTAAGCCCAGCCTTAGCCAAAAAGTACTGCACGTGCCTCAGGGCCCACTTGAGCTGTTCCACCACTCAGAGAGGCACAACAAGCTACACTAGGAATTACTGAAGGTGTGGAAAAAGAGAGCTTGGCAAATGATTCAGTTCTTTCTCTCCCACAGTGGCGATTTATACAAAATATCGAAACCAAGTAGAAACTCACCCTCCAAAAAAGCAAATTCATCGATAGCTTCAATGGCATTATCTGCAAAGCAAATGGAGAACAATTACCATAGATAAACCGCCCCCATATTTGCATCTCACAGCAGCATCTGAAATTCCATCACAACACAGCGACCAAATTCAAAAAGGTTTCCTTGTTTTGGAGCTGGTGTGTGAAATTATTAGTGTGCTATTTAGTGTAAGAGAAGTTTTTCTCTCCCATCTTCAGAGAAAGAAAGAGAAGCATCTACGATTATTTCAGCACTCTGGGACAGGTGGAAAAATCCCAGCAACCCAGAGGTTTAAGGCCAGCAGAGAACATGCTCTCATACCAAGGTCTTTTCTCTGCAGAGTTTTCCTTTTTCCTTGCTGGGCATACACATAAGCATCTTTGGCTATGGTTTCAACAAACAGCTCCTGCAAGACAAAACAAGGACAGTTTCACACCGGTGAAGATGGGAGAGGGGAGAGAGAACATTCTGAGGAAAGGTCCTACAAGACCACAGGATGAAAACAGAATCTCCACCATAGCATTTCCCCTTCCCAATAAACAGCTCTGAAAACAGCAAAGGGAATGGTTGGACAGCAATGTGAAGGAGAGGCAACAAGGGAGAAGACCAGGAGAGTGACAGTTCCTCTGAACACATCTGCTACACACCAGTGGCTCCCAGGGAACCTTCTGAGGGGGGAAAAGGTGTCCTGTGCTCAGGGGAGGAATCACCTCGAACATCACCGAGTCCAAGCACCTCCACCGTGTTCATCGCTACACCACGACCTCAAGTGCCACATCCATTCGATTGCTAAATCCCCCCAGGGATGGTGACTCCACCACTGCCCTGGGCAGCACAACCCTTTCCATAAAGGAATTTCCCCAATATCCAATCTAAACCTCCCCTGGTGCAACTTGAGGCCGTTTCCTCTCGTCCCATCACTTGTTCCCTGGGAGCAGAGCCCGATCCCCCCCCAGCTCCCCCCTCCTGTCAGGGAGCTGCAGAGCCAGAAGGTCCCCCCTGAGCCTCCTTTTCTCCAGGCTGAGCCCCCCCAGCTCCCTCAGCTGCTCCTGGGGCTGCAGCCCCTTCCCCAGCTCGGTCCGGGCTCTGAGCTGCCGCAGCCCGTGGGAGAAGGAGAAACCTCCTGCAGGGGCCACGACGCGGCCCCGCACCCCGCACAGCGTTCCGGTCCCCGGGACCCCCGGCCCGGCGCTCCCCTCACCGTGGCCCGCGCCAGCACGAACACGGCCTCCTGGCTGGCCAGGGTGACGTCCGGGTCCGCCTTCACCAGCGCCTTCACCCGCGCCAGCGGCAGCCGCGCCAGGCGGGCCGGCCCCGGGCACTGCGGCCCCGCGCCCGCCGCCTCCTCCCCGCCGGGCCCCGCCGCGGCCTCCGCGGGCCCCGAGCCCGGCACTGACCCCGGCCCCGAACCCGGCCCCGAACCCGGGCCCGGCACCGCCGACGCCGCCGCCGCCATCCCGCCCGGCGCTGCGCCTGCGCGGGCCCGGGACAGGGCGGGCACGGCGGGGCAGAGGGGGCCGGGGCTGGGAGCGCCCCCAGCGCGGGTCCTGTGCCCCCCCCGGCACCACAAACGCGGCCCCGGAGCTCCCCTCACCCCCAAACGCGGCCCCGGAGCTCCCCCCTCCCTGTCCTCCCCCAAAACGGCTTTCAGGGCCTCCCTGTCTCCCCCTCGTCCCCAAACGCGGATCTTGGGCCTCCGTGTCCCCCCGGACGGGGCTGTGCTGTCCCTGTGGCAGCAGCAGGAGCGGTGGGGCAGGTGGGCATGGGGACCCACCTCTCTGAGGAGGGGGCTGCCACCTCTGCCTGCCCGCCCTGTGCCCCCGTGTCGGCTCCCTGTGGGTCCCGTGTGGGACCTCCTGACAACCCCTTTCCATCCCACCTCCAGCCGGTGGGATCAAACCCTCCAGTGCCTGCCTTGGGCACCCTCCACAGGACCCCCAGGACCCCCACCTTTGGTCAACAGGTGGTCATCCCAGCCTTCCCCATGTTGTCCACCTCTGTCTTATCCTTAAATGTTGCAGGCGGGAGCCACTGCAGGCACTGCTGATGGGACACCTTCCCAAAGGACTGGAGGGACACGTCACCCTGAGCAGGGAAGTCAGCATCCACCAGGCAGAGGAGCCCTGCCCAGGGCTTGACTCAACCCCTCAGACCATTCCTGCCTCTGAGGCAACAAACAGTTTGACACCAGGATGTTTCAACAGAGTGATGGTCCAACGCAGCACCGCTCTGTGTAGAGCTTCCCCTGCCTTCCCAGAGGAGTGTGAGTGGGACTGTTGTGCTTTGTGACCCCCCACAAACCACCTCCACCCTCTGCAGGTCCCGTGTGGCTCCGAGACCTGACCTGCAGAGGGTTCACGTCGGCCACCATCAGATGAGGACATTGCCCACCCTCCCAGGCCCAAACCTCACATCCTGCAGTCAGTTCCCAAAACCCAGGCTCTCCTCTGGATGAGACTTTTACGGGCAGCGGGGCTTGGTGGGCTGCAAGCTTCCAACAGCAGCAGAGCCAAGCTCGTGGGCTACCAGGAGCTGCTCCTCCTCCTCTTTCTCCTCCCCCTCGTGCTGTCTCACCATCAGGCTCCAGCGACTTCCTGGCATTGCACACAGGTCCTCACCAGCCGTTAGGAAAGAGCTTCTGGTTTCAGGGGAGGGGAACCTGGGACAGGCTCATCCTGGGATGCCTCAGGTGGTCTTCAGCGAGGAGGGGAGCACACAGGAAAGCATCCACTGATGGAAAATGGTGAGTAAGAACCAGACTTGGGCTATGCTGGACATGGGGACGGGACACTGGGAGTGGAGCTGTGTCTCCTGGTTGGGAAGGCTTTGGGGATTCCTTGTGAGGGACAGAACCATCTGAGACCCTCACTCCTCCTGGAAGGCAAAGTCCTCCTGTATGTCTGAGCTGGTTGGAGCTTCAAAGGTCTCTGACCTGTTCCTGGGCTCAGTGGGAGTTTTGTTGGATGAACTCAGGATGGATATAAACATCTGTGAAAGGAGGAGGCTGTACTCCCACTGAGTCCAGGAGAGCTCCACCAACACAAAATACATGGGAAAACCTGGAATTCGTCACGGTCACAGTGGTGCTGTATCCCACACGTACACCTGAGAGCTCTAGGCAAGTCCCAGTTCATGGAAGAGCCCCAAAATTGATGGTTACAAACCACTGAGTCACTCAAGTGCCAAAAATCCCAGCAGCATGCTTGGGAATCTAGAAAAAGTGTCTTTTGTTCACAAGTTTGGGTGAAAGCCCCACTGCCTGGTGTGCAGGAAACAGCACGTTCACTCTGCTTCACCACAGGCTATGCCAAGCGCTGCATGTGAGGGTTTACCAGGGGAGTTGGGGCATCTGCCTGGAGAACTTGTGTTTAGGTATGTATATATATACATTTGATCAGTTCTGCCTAAAAACATTGCACCAGCTTCTCTCCACGTCAGCCCTTCCCTTGTGAAAGAAAAAATTACGCAAGTACAAACCCAAACTGAAATCGCAGAAGGAGAAGAACTTCAAAATCAAAGCCTCCAGCTCCAGCAGAGCAGCAGCTCTGCTGCAAAGAAACACTGTGGTCTGGGGACATCAGGCTGGGAGAGAGATGGGGAGGGTAAGGTGATCTCTCCCCTTCCACAAGGTCCATCTGAGAAGCTTAGGAAAAATGTAGCCCCATCCTGTAGCTTTGTGCCGTAGCTCCAACCTGGCACTCTTCTTCCAAGAGCCATCCAGCCTCCTCCCGGCAGCCTTTCTGTGAAGGCTCTAGAAAAGGGTGAATTTTGGTCGCTGAGGTTGCTGAGGAAGCTGAGGGCAGCTGTGTGCTCTGTGCTGTCCTGGTTAGTGTGTACACGGTGTGAGCAGCACAGGAAACACACAGGGCAGAAAAGTAGGCCGTCTGCTGCCTCTTGACCTTGTTTTTTGCACTGGTGGGGTGAGTCTCAGCAGCACCACCCCGAGTTTTCCTGCAGGGAGGGATCCAACGGCTCGGTGTGATCTCCCTCTCTTTGTGGTTCTTCATGGGAACCAGGATCAGGGCAAGGCACGTTGCTTCCATCTGAGCCCTGGGCAATCTCTGGATCTCAGATTCTGCACTCAGGAGCTTTGCTACTGGTAGGGTGTAATCCCTGACCCAGTCCCTCTGGTTTGATGGTCCCTGGTAGTGGACAAAGAGTGGATCAGACCAGCTGCCTGGTGTTGTTTTCTCAGACATATTCCAGGACGTTTTTGAGCAAACACCTTGTTTCATGGAGAAGGCTTAGTGTGAGGCCTTGCTGAAGGAATACTACATTCTCCAGGGGGGGATTTTTACTCTTTTTCCTCCATGTTGTTTTAACTGGAACTTTTTTCTTAACATTCGCAGATACACCTGGAGGGGAGAGATGCTGTGGTGAAGCACCTGAGGGCAAAGTTCCAAGGGACCAGGAAAGACCCTCCTGAAGGGGGGAGCTGGCCAGAGAGTCACCCTGCAGCACCCCATGGACCAGAGCCAGGACAGGCCCTTGCAAAGGGCTCCAAGGGCAAGCCCCCTCCAGAACCCCCCCAGAGCAGGAGAGTGGACTGCAGCAGGGCCTCCCCGTGTCACAGCACAGGTCAGGGGGTGGGACAGCACCGCCCTCCTTGTGTCGCCCAGGAAGCCCTGGCATGGATGGCGCGGCAGAAGAAGGGGATGGCTCAAGATGCCAACTTTCAGCCAGCGCCTGCAAAGCTGGGAGAAGGAGATGTGCTGAACAAGGAGGTGGGAGCCAGCCCTGATCCTCCCCAGAGCAAGCCAGCCCAGCAGACACAGCCACTTGCCAAAGACAAGGGTGTTCCAGCAGTTCCTGCCAAAGGCACGGCTGTTGCAGCCCCGCTGGTGGCTGCAGGAAGCCCCCAGCGCTCAGGACTGCCAGCTGCGCCCCGGAGGAAGCCTTTGCCACACGTGAGGGTGCTGGGAGTGAAGCCAGCCAAGCCCCGGCGCCCTCCTGTCGTGCATTTGGCAAAGGCCAGAGCAGCTGCACATCCTGGGACACCTCTCCATCGTGCCACGGTGCCACCAAGGAGTGCTCAGCCAGGTATGGCCAGACACCTGGAAATCTCTCAGGGAAGGGTGCTGCTTGTTCAGGAAGGGAAATGTCCCCACTTAGAACCTGCAGCTCCTGGGAGATGGAGCTATGGGGGCTGATGGACAAGTGGGTGCTGGGGCTTTTATAGGCAACAGCATGTGGAAATAAATGAGAGAGAAGGAGAACAGGTGAGGACACAAAGTGCCCTGTCCCTGGCTGGGCACAGGTATCAGGCTCTGGGGTGTTTGCAGGGAGTAAGGCTGGAGTAAGTAACATAAGAGATACTGCCATACTGGGGTTAGCCCAGTGCAGGGCACTAAGAGGGCTGGGGGCTGGAGAACATGGGGAAGGAAAGGCTGAGCCCCAGGCTTGTTCAGCTGGGAGGAGAGAGAGGAAGGGGAGATCTCACTGCCCGCAGCAACCTAATGAGGGGAGAAGTGGGACCAGACTCTTCCCAAGAGATGCCTGGGAGCAGGTTTGGAGATGGTGGGCATGAGCAGTAGGGGAAATTCCAGTTAGGCATTAGAAGACTCTTTCCTGTGAGCATGGTGCAGCCCTGATGCAGGCACCAGGAACACAGGCACCTCCATCCTTGGAGGTACTCAACTGTCACCTGGATGAGGCCCTGAACAACCTGCTCTAGCTTTGAGGCCAGACCTGCTCTGAGCAGAGGCTGGATGAGAGTCTGCAGGGGTCCATTCCGAGTCCATCCTTGTGTGGCTGTCGGAGCAGACAAGCCCAACCGGTGGGAAGCAGAGCTGGTCCTTCCCATGGACAAGAAGCACTTACACACCAAGTTTACCAACAGTGTGTGTCTGCCCCTTTGGCCACAAGGCAGAGGCTCTCTGCTGCCTGTGGGATGCAGGGCTTGGTGCCCCTTGGGTGAGGTGGTTCTCCATTCAGCACGGGCCCCTGGATGCTCCACACTGGCCCTCCAGCTCTCACAGCTGCTGCTCTGCTAATCCACACTCCGGGTGATGAAGCCTGTTTCAAATCCCATTTCTTGCTCAACTTCTCTAACCATGAGAGTAGAGCCTCCCTTCTTTCCTTATGAGAACTGAAAAACTGAGCTGGTCTGTGTAGGGCTGGTTGTGCTGTTGTGCTGGGAGATGCTCACCTGTACGACCAGCCCTGGCCCAGGGCTGAGCAGCCCTGGTAGAGGAGGGAGCAGTCTGCTCTCCCTATGCCCTACAAACCAGCAAATTTTCAAGTATTTAGTTGTTTCATTGGTACTGAGGCAAGTTGGAACATCTAGAATTACATCCCGCTCCGATTTGGTTGGTTTTGTTAGTTTTTCGGGCAATCTTACAATTTTTAGGGCCTAGTATTTGATTGTGCATTACTTGGTAAAAGAACCCAGCAGAGCTGTGGTGTTGTACTTGGGTCTTCGTGCCAGTTGTTGGTTGGTCTGGTTGACCAGGCTGGTGACAAGGCTGGTGATGAAAACAGTGGAATGTTAGCAGGCATGTGGGCATGCTGGCAGTCCTGAAGTGCACAGCAGCACGTTCTGGTTGATGATGCTTCTGAGTACATGGAGGTATCCAAGGCTTGCCCTAACTGTGGTACAGAACTGGAATTTAGGGTTTTCACGACATTCAAAATACCTGTTTTGGCCTCTTCCCCTTCCATCATTTTTCCAGGGAGAAAGTAACATTAGGGACATAAGAATGGGAAAATATATATTCATGGTCTGCACTGAGCTCCCCAATGAGCTGTGCCCCTGTGTGCTGGACCAAAGTCCCTGGATGAGCTTTGGAGTAAAAACTCCTTGCTTGATACAGTTGTGCAGTTTTATCTCCCTGCCTCCCTGTGTCTGCACTAAATCCAGTCCAGAGTGGCTCTGACCTCAGGGTGGGTGATAGAGCTGAGCAGAAGATATGAGATAACCCCTCCCTGCTCCTTCCTGTTCTGCTGGTTACCACAGGTCACCCGAGCCCAGGCTGTGCTGTGCGGGCGCGGTTCCCGCTGCAGGATGCTCCGAGTGCCGCGGGGTAAGGACCGACACAGCTCTGCTATTGGTGACTTCGAGGCTGTGCCGACCCGGTGGGAAGGGCACAAGAGGGGTCAGCGAGGGGCTCCGGGGTTTTCCTGCCTGCTGCTGGAGCCCAGCGTGTGCAGCAGCTCCCGCAGTGCCAAGCGCTGCCACCCCTTGGGGGCTGCATCCTCTCACTGCTGTGGCTGCTGCCGTCCCACCGCCTGTCCCCCCCACAGCCCTGCTGTGCTGCGCTCTGAGGAGCTGCTGGCACAGGGCACAAGAGCTGCTGTCCCGCTCTGCCCCAGAGCCAGGGCCAGCCCACCTGCCTGCTGCCCACCCTGCTCCGAGCAGCGCTTCCCAACCCCGTCTGCCTTGCCACAGGGATGAAGAGGAGCTGTATGATGATGTTGAGTCTCTTGGGCCGCCCAGGACAAACCCGGGTGTTCTGCTGCCTCCTGCGTCCCGGCCAACAGCGTATCCCCACCCTAGAGGAGGTGGGTACAGGAGGGGCTGGGGTGCTGTTTGGGGTGAGAGCTGCAGCTCCCAGAGCCTTGAGGCCCTAAATATCCACAGGCAACAGCAGAGCCCATGCTGAGCCCACTGCTGCCACGCGCAGGAGGGAGATGGGTTTCTCTGCTGCTTGTAAATGGGCACGGGAAACCCTGATCCCACCACACTCAGGGGCACGCTCAGGGTTTGGTCCCAGGAGGAGAAAGCTCTTGCTGCTCTTTGTATCTTGGCAGGTGTTTACACCTCACAGCAGCCTCACTGCAGCAGCACTTCTCCTGGGGTTTGGTTTTACAGGTGGAGATGCTGGCCGAGCCTCTAACAGGGTTACCTTGCTGGCAGCTGCACAGAGGTAACGGGGTTTTGCTTTTTCTAAAGGTCCCAAAATGGTCAGGTCTCCTTGGTGCTCTGACAAAGCTGGTGCTTTAATGCTGCGCTTGCAGTAGGAAAGTCCATGGTGAAAAGCACAAGCTGCAGGCTGTGCACCTGGTCCAAAAACCCCCAGCAGCCCCAGAGCTGGTGCAGGGAAATGCAATGGGGCAGCAGCTGGGGGGGCAGAAGGGGATGAGAGGGATCAGAGTGTGGGGTCACCTGAATCTTCACATGACTCTCAACGACTGCAGAGAAGCCCAGGTCTCCCAGAAGACACTCAAGGAATGCAAGAAGGAAGAGAAGGCAGACAGGGAGTTTAAGAAGAAATTCAAGGTGAGCAGCAGCAGGTGATCCCTTATCTCTCCAAACTCCTTCTCCCCTCCTGGGGAGGGTTCAATGCAACAGCAGAGAGCAGCTGTGCTCTGCAGGGACAGCTGTTCCCACCAGGTCCCACCTGCCCTGTTCCCCCAGATCAGACCAGTCCCACAGACCATTTGGCTAGAGAGGCATCTGCTTTTTCCAAGCAGGGAGAGCAGTCAGACCTGCCTGACTCAGTTCCCCTAAGGGCACTGCTGTTCGTGTTTCAGTTCGAAGGCAGCATCAACGTCCTGACTCGGATGATGGTCGACCCTGCAGCGACAGAGAAGAGGGGTGGGGATAAGAATCTGCCGCTGCGACGAGGAGAGATCCTTGATGTCATTCAGTTTACCAATCAGGAGCAAATCCTCTGCCGGAACAGCCAGAGGAGGTGTAAGTCTGGAAGAGGATGAGGGTTTGCCCGCAGGGGGGAGCACAGCAATTTTAGGAACAAGTTTCTTCGTACGCACACGCCCCGCCAGACCGCAGGAGAGACATCCGCCTGCCGTTAAACAGACCTGGCAGGTACCCTGGGCCTCAGAGGTTCCCACTTCTCTCTGCACAAACGTCCTGCTCTTCCTCCATTCCTGCCGTGAGCGGGGCTTGTCCTCTCCCTCCGCTAAAAGCCTTTCCAGTCCCCGGAGCCTCTCGGCCACCAGCCTGGCACACCAGGCTTTGCCGTGGGCACAGTCCACAAGCTGTGTCTGCACCGAGGGATGCGCAGGTGAAATGGGCTGCAGATCCTGCAGGCAGAGAGACGGGGATCAGGCTCTTCCCTGCCCAGCCTGGCAGGCTCCTCCCTGACACTGCCCCGAGCAGGTTCCTCCCACGGGTCCAGCTCAGCTTCCCAGAGCCGGCTCTGCCTTGTCCCACCTGTCCCTGGGGACATGAGGTGTTGCTAAACCCTACCAGTCCTGGGCAGGGGCAGGTGCTGGGTTGAGTCCCACAGCTCCCTGCACAACCTGACGAGTTTTTCCTCACTCTGTTGCAGATGGCTACGTGCCCCGGGCCGTGATGCTGCACCTGTGAGTACCCTTCCCAAAACCCCTCCTCCCCCTCCATGGGCTCAGCTGTTCAGTGAGTGCCTGGCACCAAACCATTCCTGGCCATTGACTGACAACTCCAAACCATCCAGCCCAGGCGGTGCCCATAGACCAGGGCTGGTTACCCTGGGGTGGAACCTGCCATTTCTGGTGTCAGGAGAGGTTCTGGCAATGGGGCACACTGAGCACTCCCCAAGCTGTGGTCCCTCACGTGGGACATGCCCAGAGGCTGCTCAGGGGCTGCATGGCTGGGTCTGCAGCTCCCAGTAGCCTGGAACAAGGCCACTGCCCCTGAGAGGGGCCAGAGTCATGGTAACCCCACACTGGAGGGTCCCAGCTCTGTGGGGACAGCTGGGAGGGAGCAAACAGGACTGCAGGAGGACACCAGAGCCCACAGACAAGTCATGGGAGATGGGACAGATACAGCAGCAGGAGCTGGCCCTTGCCTCAGAGTCAGGAGGTGATGGGGTGACGTGGGAGACCAGGCTGCCCTCAGCACCCTGTCTTTTTCCTTGCAGGGACACTGACATCTATGACGACGTTGAGATTTACGGTAGGTGCAGAGGGAACTGCTGCCCTACTCCTTCCCCAGGTGCTGTCTGGCATGGACCAGCAGAGACCCCACACCAGCACCAGGGCCTCCCCTCCTGACCCCTTGCTGTTTTGCCACCTTCCCTCTCTCCCCTCCCTCTTTGTGATTCCTCTTCCTGGGATATCCTTTACTTGCCCTCAGTTCCTCAAAGGTCTTTACATTCCCAATTATTTGGACTTCCCTGCACCCTTTCCCATCTCAGCTTTCTCCCTCCACTTGGTGTCAGCCCCAGGGCCCATTTGATGTGTCCCTGATGCCCCAGACACTGGGACTCCCCTTTCCCAAGCAGTTGCTCACTCCCAACATGCAGACTCCATCCCCCAGCTCTCAGCTGGCTCTGAAATTGGAGCTGAATAGAGGCAACTGTATTTCAGCTCTGCTGATGAGCAAACACTTTATCTACTTCTGGCAGACTGAGTGATCCCCACTGAGGCCAAAGGCACGAGAGAGCACCACAGAGACCTCCCCAGGGGCCGACATGCACAGCACCAGACACCACACTGCTGATGGGAAAGGAGCTCTGCTTCCCCTGAGACAGCCTGCAAATCCACCGTGACCCTGGGGCTGCACAGCTCCTGTCCCACGGGGCGGGGGGCCCGACATCCTCGAGTCACAACTTCACTGTGGCTTTGCTTTGTCTGTGTAAAATATGGCAATGGTTCAAGAAGGCTTCCTGGCCTTGTTTTTGGTTGGGGGTTAAAGTCAGGGCCAGAAAGGTTTTAATATTTCCCCATTCCCAGAGCACCCTCAGCCTTGGACCCACCCACCCACCCCATTCTTCTGCACTCCAGCCCCAGGAATGCTCCTGGCCTGAGCCAGAGACAAACTGGACACAGAAATACTCCAAAATATTGTGGATTATTGGCCGGGAACCCCAACTGCACCTTGTGGCCTTGGGGCAGCTTCCCTGCAGGGCTGGTGGAGAAGTTGGTTCTGTTGGGGTAGATATTCCTGCTGGAACGTTCAGCATCATCCGTTGGTGTCTCGGGCTGAGGTTTGTGCAGATGCCACGAGAAAGCCCTGCCCTCACAAAGCCCTCACAGATGGGGGTAGGATGGGGGTGCACTCGCAGCCTGTGGGAGCACAAATGTGCTGCCAGACCCGGATCTGGTGGCCAGACCCAGATCCCTTTGGATCAGAAACCGTGAGGGTCTGAATCCCTGCTCTCAGCCCGCACACTGACCCCCAGCCCGGGGCTGGAGGGTTAAACGGGGAGGGTTCGGCACCGCAGGGGCGGGATGCCAAGCCCAGATTAACCAGTGGAAGACGTCACTTTCCATTATGGGAAAGGCTCCCAAATATCCCTGGAGCTTTTGGTTCTGGGGATTAGCCATCAGCATACTCAGCTCCCAGCACAGAGCAGGGATCCGTCGGTGCCCGTGGCCATGAGCAGGGCTGGGACCTGCTCCGAGGGGCATCGTCGGGGTGGCTGAGCACAACCATGTGGGAGTGTGTCAGGAGAGCCGTGCTGCACTCCCTGTCCACGATCCTCCTGCGCCTCTGCAAGTGGGTGCGGGCTTTCTGGTACAAAAATGGCCTCCTGACCCTCTCGATGCTGTCGGTTGTCACCGGGTGCCTGCTGGGGTTCCTGCTGCGGACGCTGGAGCTGACAGACCTGGTAAGCCCGACCAGGATGGGGACGGGAGTGAGGGAGATGGAGTGGTCAGGGGGGCAACCAGCCCTGGTGCCAGTAAAGGTCCCAGATGGGCACAGCCCCAAAAGCAAAGGCTCCTGTCCAAGAAAATCACCCCAGAGCAGGTTTCTGCACGTGGTTTTTTTTTTTTTTTTTTTTTTTTTTTTTTCTCTGGGCTTTTTTTTTTGTTGTTTCCCAAGAAGCTCTCAACGAATGCCAAAGCTGCAGGACAAACCCTGCCTTCCTCCAGTGGGAGTGAGGGGCTCTGGGAAGGAGCTTGTGGGACTGCAGGAGCCTCCAGGTGGGCTGGGGATGGGAAAGTGGGGAATGGCTGCTTGGCTGCAAGATGCTGAGTGACAGGCTCCCCCCAACACCACCAGCAGTGATGGGGTCCGGGGGATGAGCTCCTGCCCTGACCCTCCCCAGCTGTGCAGATGCTCAATCCAAGCACGTTTCTGCTCTCTGGAGAAGACCCAGCAAATAAATAAGGGCAGGTGGGGAGCCTGGGGGGGTCTTCCAGGGGTCCTTCTTCTGAGGACCCTTGGAAACAAACACAGTGGAGGAAATGCCCCTAAAAGGGACGTTCACTCAGCGCTTCCCAGGAGGATCATGGTGTGAAACGGCACCGGATCCCCCCGGGCAGCTGGGCTGGGCTCAGCCCTGATCCTCAGCGGGCTGGGGAGCCCAGAGTGGGAATCTGCTCCAGGGAGAGCTTGGCTGGCGCTGGAACATCCCTGGGTTGCCCACTTGGATTTAGCAAAGTCTTGTCATTTCAATTAGGCCCCTCAACATCAGCGCAGCGGGGATGATCTCGTTACTTAATTGAAGCCGGGTGTAATCTCCTCATCCCGGTGCACACACCCGTGAGGCCAGCACAGCCCCGGGGCTCCAGGCCCTCATCCTGCACTGACTTCATCCATCCTCTGCCCCAGCCCTGCTGGGAGGCCTCACAGCCACTTCTTCCCGTTAGAGAGTCCCAAAACCCTCACTAGAGGAGGGGCTGGAGAAGTGGCCACTCCCTGCTTTCTACCCACAATGGGGAATGTTATGAAGTTAAAAGACCCACTGACAAAGAGCTGCTGTTCAAATCTGAGGCAACCTTGCACCTGTCTGGGTCCACTGTAGCTCCCCGGGGACTTCAGCCACATCCAGACCCCAGTGGGACAGCACTCTCCCCTTGGTCATGGCTGTGCTATCTGGAATTTGGGGGTCCCTCTCCAGACAGCCCTTCCCCATGTCCCTGTGAGGGATGCAGGGGACGTGAAGAGATGCCACAGCACAGAAACCTCCCTTGTTGCACTGAGGCTGCCCCATGAATGGGCTGGACACTCTCCCTGAGCTTGGCTTTGCCACCTGCAGCCACAAGGTATTCCCACCTTTTGCTGCTCCTGATGGCTTTGGGGCACTTCTGCAGGTGCTGCTGAGCCTCTGCTCCCTGATAACAAGTGCAGCAACGTTCAGGAAGCAAAGCTCAGAGCTGGGGCTGGTTGGGAAAAAGGCAAATTTATCAAGTTTGAGCCCTTAACCCACAATCATCACACGCTTAGTGCTCACCTGACACACGGCTCTGCTCTGTGTGCAGGAGAAGCAGTATTTTTCCTTTCCTGGGGAGCTTCTCATGAGGATGCTGAAGATGCTGATCCTGCCCTTGATCACCTCCAGGTAAAACATCACCTTCTACTCTAAAGCACCATCTTCCCATCGCGTTGAGGAGGTGACCCCCTGACCCCTCATCGAGGAGATCACCCCAAAACTGCCTGGAGTGAGAATAACCCTGGCCCCAGGCAGCTGGCGGCCAAGCAGCATCCCCTGGCTTGGTGTACATCAAATCCCACAATTTCCCAGCAAGTTTGGAACAAATCCTCACCTGGATTTGGTACCTGCACCCAGGTCAGGCACCTGCACTGGCTGGGGTGTTCCCCTTCTTTTGGGCAGCTGGTGATGCTGGGACCCTCCGTGGGCAGCTGTGATGGGTGGCTGTTTAACCTCAAAGCAGATTCCCTTATTTAGAGGCATTTGAGAGAGTTCAAATAGAAACAAAAAGCGTCCCTCAGTGCTGTGTCTGTGTTTGCAAATCCCCATTTTGTGGGCCCATACAGACCTAGAAATAAGAAACAGAGCCCAGCAGTCACACTCAGCTCTAAGCAAGGCCCAGAAAGCTCATATGGATTAACATATTGTAAAGAATTGCTGGCCCATGCTCATTAGACACATGCAAACCATAACTCCTCATTCCCTCGAGGATGTGTCATTTCTCTATTGTTTGTCAGAGTTTGTTTGTTGCCCCATTTGCCTCTGGTTTATTTTTGGGAGCAGTGAGGTCTCTATCCTGGCCACACTTGGCCTGTTGAGTATCAGCCCTTGTGGAGCTGCTTTCTTTTCCCCTCCAGTATCTCACACCCTCCCCTGAGGCACTGGAGGGTTTCCCTTTGCTCTCAGCCCTCCCTGCAGCTCAGCGACCTGGGTCATCCCCTCTCACCACTCTCCTGCCTGCAGGCACAGGGATCCCAGGAGTTTTCCTGCATGTTGAATTGAAACAGGGATTTTTCTTATTTAATTACTGAATGATGGTGAAGTGGCATCTTCCACCTACGCACCATCCCAGTGGGGACTGGGAGCTCCCCAAGCCTCAAGTCAGAAAGAATCACCCACCTCAGCATTGCTTTTGTGGCCTCTTGAGCTTCCAAAGCCCCTTTCCTCCTGGACACGTGGCCGCTGGAGGGGATCTGTGGGCTGGTCACTACCTCAGCCACCCCATCCCGTGTGTCCCCAAGGCTGGCATTTACCCTCACAGCCCCCATCTCTATCATGTCCTGCCTGAGGGTCATTGGGCCAGTGCTGGACTCCACCAGCAGCTCAGCTGGGGCTGCAGGGCTCGGTGTGGGTCTGCACATGGGGCACCCTGCAGCCCCCAGACACCCACATTTCACAGAATCCCAGAATATCCTGAGCTGGAAAGGACCCCCAGGACTCATCCAGTCCTGTCCCTGCCCAGGACACCCCAACAATCCCCCCCTGTCCCTCAGAGCGTTGTCCAAACGCTCCTGGAGCTCTGGCAGCCTTGGGGCCGTGCCCACTGCCCTGGGGAGCCTGGGCAGTGCCCACCACCCTCTGGGGGAAGAACCTTTCCCTGAGATCCATCCCAACCCCCCTGGCACAGCTCCAGCCCTTCCCTGGCTCCTGTCCCTGGTCCCAGAGCAGAGCTCAGCGCCTGCCCCTC